AGTGGATGATGGATGGGTGGGTGGATGATGGACGGATAGGTGGGCAGATAAATGATGGTGGCTGGGTGGGTGGATGATGCATGGGTGGGCAGGTAAATGATGGGTGGGTGGATGATGGATGGAAGGAGAGGTAAATGATGGTAGGTGGGTGGGTGATGGATGAAATGGCAGGTAAATGATGGGTGGGTGGGTAGATGATGGGTGGGTGGATGATGGATGGAAGGGGAGGTGAATGATGGTAGATGGGTGGATGATGGATAGAAAGTAAGGTAAGTGATGGATGGGTAAGTGGACGATGGATGGGTGGGTGGATGATGGATGGATGGATGGGCAGGTAAATGATGGGTGGGTGGATGATGGATGGGTGGGCAGGTAAATGATGGATGGGTAAGTGGATGATGGATGAAAGGGCAAGTAAATTATGGATGGGTGGGTGGATGATGGATGGAAGGGGAGGTAAATGATGGATGGGTGGGCAGGTAAATGATGGGTGGGTGGGTAGATGATGGATGGGTGGGCAGGTAAATGGTGGATGGGTGGGTGGACGATGGCTGGAAGGGCAGGTGTGTGTATGGGTGGGTGGGTGGGTGGATGATGGAGGGAAGTTGGATTGGTGGGTGGATGATGGATTCGTGGGTGGGTGAGTTGGTACAAATTCCAGCTTTCTGAAGCCTTTCGATTGATGAGTGACAGTGAGGTAGTCCAGGCCTTTAATGAACTCAGCTAGTCCGCTAGCTGCTATTTCCCTTACTACCTGATGCCTTCTCTTCCTAGCTGCGGGGACCACTTTAACCCTGATGGAACATCTCACGGTGGCCCAGAGGACGCTAACCGGGTAAGTGTCAGCCTGGGGTTGGGCTTGGACCAGAGAAAACCCAGGATCCAGAGACAGAGCAAGCAGCTCCTGGGACATTCCAGAGTGATTCCCCAAGCTGCTCTTCCATGAAGTTCTCTATGGATGTTGGGGGGCAGCTGTGTTCATATTTACCCAAAGGCCAGTGCTGTGCCCAATACCCCTGTAGGGAAATGGCTCCCCACAGTGCTCCGCCTCTGGTCTGGGCCCCTGCTGAATGCCTGGATGGACGCTGAGCAGGACCCAGGGGCACCCAGTTCCCCCCTCTGCCTCAGGTGCCCCGACCCACTGGTCTTCCCTTCCTGTCTTGATGAAAGTTTGCGGGACAGGTGTTTTCAGTCCTCCCCACATGCCTAATTTGCATAACAGGTCGTTTGGACTTTGGACGGCTCTGTGAGGCTTTCACTGGCAGACGCTGTTCCCTGCCCTTGGCTGGATGCTGGTGCGGTCTCCGTGGCATTCACTGCTGCGAATCAAACTACCGCAGCAGCGTTCGGGGCTTACAGCACAGACGTTTACTACGTCACGGGTCCTGTGGGTCTGGGGAGGGTGCGTGGCCTGCCTGGGGGCCTCAGCCTCGGGGTCTCACCGTTTTAAGGCTGCAGTCATCTCCCGGCTCCACAGGGAGAGAGTGCATCAGGCTCACCGCCGTGGCTACCGGCTGGCCTCCGTCCTCACTGGTCGTCAGCCAGAGACATCCCTTCTCTGCCACGAGGGCTTCTCCCCAGGGCAGCTGGTTTCCCCCGAGCCAGAGAGTGAGCGTGACCATCCAGGACTGGAGTCACACTCTTTGTGTCCTAACCTTGGCAGCGACACTCGGTGGGACCCACAGGCAAAGGAGGGTGTGACTATGGAAAAGGAGCCCTGGGACACGGTGGTCAAGCCTTTGGCTGCTAACCGGGAGGTTGGCCTTTGAACCCACCAGCCCCCCTTGGGGAGAAAGTCTGCTTCCGTGAAGGGTGCTGCAATTAAGTGTCAGTTCTGACTCCCAGCAGCCCTGGGACACTGCCCGGGCTTCCACCAGCCTCCCAATAATTGCTCCACTTTGAGCTCACGGTTGCAGCCACTGGATCCCTCCATCTTGTTGGGGGCCTTCCTCTTTCTTTTTAAAATCATTTTACTGGGGGCTCGGACGACTCTCACCACAGTCCATGCATCCATCCATCGTGTCCAGCACCTTTGTACATTTGTTGCCCTCATCATTCTCAGAACATTTGCTCTCTACTTGAGCCATTGGTATCCGCTCCTCATTTTTACCCTCCCTCACGAACCCTTGATAATTTGTAAATTATTATTATTTTGTCATATCTTACACTGTCCAATGTCTCCCTTCACCCACTTTTCTGTTGTCCGTCCCCCAGGGAGGGGGTTATATGTAGCTCCTTGTGATCGGTTCCCCCTTTCTATCCAACCTTCCCTTTCCCCTCCTGGTATCACTACTCTCATTATTGGTCTGGAGTGTTTATCTGTCCTGGATTCCCTGTGTTTCCAGTTCTTATCTGTACCAGTGTACATACTGTGGTCTAGCTGGATTTGTAAGGTAGAATTGGGATCATGATAGTGGGTGGGGGGAGGAAGCATTTAAGAAATAGAGGAAAATTGTATGTTTCCATTGCGTGTACTGCACCCTGACTGGCTGGTCTCCTCCCTGTGACCCTTCTGTAAGGGGATGTCCAGTTGCCTACAGTTGGGCCTTGGGTCTCCACTCCGCACTCCCCCGCATTCACAATGAGGACCTTGCTCTTGCTTACGGACCCTCTGCCTTAGCAAGCATGATGTCCTTCCCCAGGAACTGGGCCATCTGGTAACATGTTCAAAAACACAGATGAAGTCTCACTGTCCTTGCTTTTAAAGAACATTCTGGCTGGACTTCCTCTAAGACCCAGGGTGATTTCAGTATGCTTTGCCGACCCTCAAAGGCTTCGACGCGTGGAGCTTCCTCGCTCGCTGTCCAGCTTTTGCTGGGAACACGGGTGGTTTAAAGGCAGGAAAGGAGTGTGGCCGGGTTGCCTCCTCTCACCGTATGACTCGTGTGTGTGCTGAGCAGATCCTCAGAGTTCTTCCGTGAAGAAGCACGTGGCGTCAGGGTGGGAGGAAGGCGTTTCCCCGTGACCTGCAGAGGAGGAACGTGGCGCTGAAAGTGAGGAGGACTCGCGGCACTTGTGTGGAGATGAAGGACCGCAGCCTTCAGTGTGGATGGTAGCTCAGTGTCCAGCAGACGCCCAGCCTCACAACCCGACCAGTGAATGGAGACAGGTTGAAGGGGTCAAGGATTTTGTCTCACGTAGAAACCACATTCCGTGTTCACTGAAGCAGCAGTCAAGGGAGCAAAGGACGAGTTGCGTTGGGTCAATGTGCTGCACGAGACCTCTTCAGAGCCCTGAAAAGCAGGGATCTCCGTTTGAGGATTGAGGTATTTTTCAGTTGCCTTCGATGCGTGTGAAAGTTGGACCTTGAATAAGGAAGCCCAAAGAAGAACCGATGTGCCTCAACTGTGCTGATGACAAAGAAGACCGAAAGTACCGTGAACTGCCAAAAGGCCAAGCCGATCTGTCTTGGCAGAAGTCTGGCCAGAGTGCTTCTTAGAGGCAAAAGTGGCCAGACTTCATCTCACATACTTTGGACATGTTGTCCGGAACGACCAGCCCCTGGAGAAGGACATCGCGCTGGGCGGTGCAGAGGGGCCTCCAAAGAAAGGAAGTCCCTCAAGGAGATGGAGTGACACCGGGGCTGCCACAATGGGCCCAGGCAGGGGGACAATTGTGTGGATGGCACAGGCCCGGGAAGGGCTTCGTCCTGTTGGGCATAACCAACTCGATGGCACCTCACAATAACAGCAGTGGCCTATTCCGTGGAAAGCCCTGTGGGGCTCGTCCAACTCTGCCCTGTGAGTCGGAATTGACTCGGGAGCAATGGAGTTGGCTTGGGCTGGGAGTAGGAAGAGGTGGGACTCTTGGTGACTGCCTGGGCCTCAGGGAGCCTGAAAAGGGAGCGGGAAGTAGGAGGGGAAGCGACAACATGGAATGGCAGGCCCTCAAAGCCGGACACAGCCAGGAGTAGCAGGCGCCCTCCCTGGGGACCTGTGCCTTTTCCCTGGGTCTCTCTTGGGGCAGGAAGCTGAGGGGACTGGTGCCCGCTTCTGGATACCTGGGAGGAACGGAGCACGCCTAGCACAGGGTCGTTGTGATAGCTGTGTGCTCACAGCAGTGGGTTTTGCCCACATGGGAATGACTTCAGAGCAGGGCTTTCCTCCAGGCCTGGTTGCCCCCCCCCTTGCCCAGATGCTGGATGAACTCCAAACTTCCTTCCCTCCTTGACCCTGGCCCTCCAGGCCTTCCCCTTTGTACGCTCTGCTAGGGAGGGATTGCGTGCAAACCCGCCTGAGACCCTCTGTGGCTCCCCAGTGTCCAAGGGCACAGGCATCTTGGGGTGGCAGTTAGGCCCTCTGCTGGCCCCATCCACCTGTCTCATCTGCCGCCTGCTGCTGAGCTATGCTCCCAGCTGGCTGCCAGGCCCCCTCCGCCCAGCCCAGGAGATGCTCACGGAGTCTCCCTATTGCTTCCCCACCTTGGTCTTTCTTCCAGGAAAGCCCCCCGACACAGGTGGTGGGAGGAAGACAGAGAAAGCAGGCCAGGCGCTTGAGAGGCTGGGAGCTGCTTTAGGGCCCAGCCACAAGCTCCCGTGGACCGGCCAAGGTGATACAGGAGCTTGCTTCTGTCTGAAGTGTCAGGCTGGGGACAGTTTCTCTGCACAGAGGTGGGTCTCTGTGGCCCATCATAAGGCCCTGGCCCCCAAATTCCTGCACGTGCCCCGTGTTCCCTGTAACTGGCCACTTCTCTGTCTGCTTCCACCATGCGGTGAGGTGACCCCAGGGCCTTTGTGCCGTGGACTCTGTTCCATCCCGAAGCACCCCTGGAGGATGGAGCAAAACTGGCCCCTGCAATTCCCTTGGCTGTCACCTTCATGGGCTGAGGAGCCCTGGTGGTGCAGTGATTAAGTTCTCAGCTTTGAACCCACAGAGTGGTGGTCCAAACCCCCTTGCAGCTGCCTGCAGGAGGAAGATGGTGCAGTCTGTGCCCAGGAAGATTGCAGCCCTGGAAGCCCCGTGGGGGCCAGTCCACTCTGTCCTGAGGGGCTGTTCTGAATCAGAATCGGCTCCATGGCAGTGGGCTCCTCTCGACGGGAGTGGGTCGCCACGCCTTTTCTCCCAGGGGATGGCTGGTGGAGTCGACCCAGCAGCCTCTTGGTTGTTAGCAGTCAAGCTCTTGCCTGGCCTGGCAGGGCTCCCTCTCCATGGCCTAGCAGCGTTTTCACATGAGAGGTGCTCAGTGGCCGTGTGAGGACGTTTGCCATCACGGGGGGAAGGTGGGCCCCTTGTCCCTTGTGTTCTCACAGCACCTTGGGACAGGGAGACTCAGAGAGAAGAGTCAGGGACGCCAACCTTGGCCATCTTCAGCCAGCCCACGAGGATGGTGGGGTGGCTTCCGGGGCTCACAGAGCCACTGGGAGGCTGGAGACCAGGCTTGGAGCGAAGCAGGCACAGGGCCATTGGAGGAACAGGCTGGTTGGGTCCAGCAACCCGTCCTTCTTCCTAGGGAGGGGGTATCCAGTTGCCTGCCTCGAGCCCCCGGCCACTACGTGACCCTACCAGACTATGCGCTCAGAAGCTTTGGTGCTTTCTGGAAGGGAGGAAAGGGAATGGGGTGCTGGGAAGCCAGCACACACAGTCCAGCTGCTGCCCCACCTGACCGAACCCCACTGGGCCCCACCTGACCGAACCCCACTGGGTCCCGTTCCAGCACCATGGAGACCTGGGGAACGTCCACGCGGACACTGACGGCCGAGCAGTCTTCAGGATGGAGGATGAGAAGCTGAAGGTATGGCGGGAAAGAAGATTGGGGGACCTGTGTTAGTCTGGATAGACAGAAAAACAAATCCAGAGACACTTGCGTATAAGAAACAGCTTTATATCAAAGAACAATTGTATATTAAGAAAACAGCCCAGTCCAGTTCAAGTCCCTAAGTCCGATATTAGCCCATCTGCCTGATACCCATGGATCCAGTGGTGGTGGAAGCATCTCAGCGCTGGCGTGTGTCTCCATGTGGCTCCTCCAGCTCCAGGGCTCTTGTTCCATCAGGGATCTCCATGTGGCTTGTCAGCAGGAAGACAAGCAGAGTGTCTATGTGTGTATCTCATCTCCAGTGAGTTATTTATCTCCTTGGAGCCTCTATGTGAGGTTATCAAGCTGCGACCTGATTGGCAGGCTAGACTCCAACCCCTTCGCAAGTTGACAGAAGATGATGTCACTGCCCACAGGGCTCTTCCTGCCAGCTGAGGTGTTGTTTCCCCTCAGGTGTGGGACGTGATTGGCCGCAGCCTGGTGATCGATGAGGGGGAAGATGACCTGGGCCGAGGTGGCCACCCTTTGTCCAAGGTCACCGGGAACTCTGGCAAGAGGTGAGTGCCCAGGGGGAGGCTGCACGCGGCCTGCTCCCATGCAGGGGCCCAGACCAGCAGCCCTTGACCTCACGTTCTCCCGCAGGCTGGCCTGTGGCATCATCGCACGCTCCTCGGGCCTGTTCCAGAACCCCAAGCAGATCTGCTCCTGCGACGGCATCACCATCTGGGAGGAGCGGGACCGGCCCATCGCCGGCAAGGGCCGCAAGGAGCCTGCCCAACGCCCTGCCCACCTCTGAATCTGCCCCTCCCAGCTGAGCAGCCTCCATTTCAGAAGGCTCCCAGGGAACCCTAGCCCTGGGAAAACTAGGGTCTGCACGGGGAGGATGTCTGCAACGCCCGTCCCCTTGGCTCATTAAACTTTATTTTCACATGGGACTTCACACTTGTCACCATCTCCAGGAGCCTCATTGGGACTGTGTCAGCCTCTGCCCACCACATCTTGGGCCACCGCTTGGCCGTGGAGCTAGACCAACCTGAGCCAGAGCCACCCACCTCCTGAGGTCCCCATCGGCCTCTCCCTGAAGGGCCGTAGCAGCTGCCTCATGTCTGGGCCGTGCCGCCCTCCCTAGGCTGATTGGAGCCAAATGAAGACACCTGACCTTCCCTGGCCAATCGGGCCTTCCCCCGAGAAATCAGATCCGATCCACCTCTAGCTTTCGCCTTCCTGTGGCCACAAGGTGTGTTAGGCTGGGTTCTTTGAGAAAGACTCAGGTACTCGTCAAAGTGGGTTAGGGATGTAAGCTGCAGCGGCTTCCCTAGACTCACGAGGCTGTAGAGGCTGACGAGCCCGGGGTGGGCAGGAACACCACAGGCTGCAGGGGTGGGTTAATCCAAGGGCAGCAGGCCGGCTTGTGTCTAGAGAGGGGAATGAATCCGAGGTGGGCAGGTCGAATGGCAGGCTGTCTATGGCTCCCAGGATTGGCAGGCCATGTGGCAGCCTGCTGGCTCCGATCCAAAGAACTCAAGACCGGAGAACCAGATACAGGATCCAGACCCAGCAAAAAGCAAGCAAGCTTCGCACAGCATCTCTTTATGTAGGGAGTCAGCCGCCACGCCCGTCCACCCCCGCAAGACCCCTCCTTGCATCAGGCCGTGACCTGAGACCAAAAGGGTTCCACTTCATCCTAATCTCACAATTACTTGGCTGCTCACAGCAGATCCCATGGGGAGGTGATTACATCATCGTGTTAGGTCCCCACTGCCAAACCACGGAGAATGCTGACCCAGCGACCTTATCACAAAACCCGACTGTCACACGGGAATGTGGTTATCTCAGTGCTGCTGGGACAAATGCCCCACGTGGGTGCCTTTTTAAACAAACATTTTCTCAGTTTGGGTGGCCTCAGGTCCAAATCCAGGGCACCCGCGGTAGAAGGCTCTCTTTCTGTCAGGTCCGGCGCCGGTCTGTGGCTCTCTTCACCCTCCGTTCCATGACAATCCTGATGTCGCATGGGCCTTCCCCAACTGTGCTCCCTGGCTTCCACGCTAATCTCTTCTCAGACCTTAAAAGCCACTGGGTTGAAAAAAAACACGCTGCGTGGCTAGGGCCTCATTCATATAACAAAGTTCTATTCCCGAATGGAGTTGTAGCCACAGGTCCTATAGGGCTAGTAGTACAACACATGCTTTGGGGGGACACGAAGCATTCCATAACACGGGAACTGCAGGTACCCCTCACCTTGCTGACAGCATGAGAGAGCTGGTCTGCCGAGGAGTTGGACTGAGGCTGGAGATGCCCTGCTCCGGGGCCTTTCCTGAGCCAGCTGCCTTCTGTCCTGCGACTCCACAGACCCTCCGCATGCTCCAACTGCATTCCTTCCACCAGCCCCTTTTTAAAAATCTGCTTTCAGTTGATTTGCTCACAAGCAAAGGAATTTTAATCTAGGAAGTCCAGCACTTGGTGCAGGCCTGGCACAGACTCAGGCCAGGGTCAGTGGCAGTCAATCTGAGGAGCCCAGCAAAGCTCACCCCTTTGTGGGTGGCTGATAGCCAGAGAAGAGCAGGGGGCCCCTTCCCCATCTCCTCCGAATCCCATCGCCTTTGGGGTGTCAGGCTTGCGCACCTCCAAAAAGGCTACTTCTGTAAAACAGAAGTGCAGTGTAGCCTCTGCTGCTTAGCCCCCTGCCCAGGTAGCACTGGCTGGCTGACTGGCTGGGCATACACTTCACCCCTGGTCTCCTGCTTGGGACCCTCAGGAGTTTCTAGTGCTTGCCCTAGGTTTAGATGCCCCTCCCACCTTCGCTCGGCCTCCTTCAAGGTTTTTGGCTCCGCCTCTAGCCCCAGCTGTCAACCTTGCCCAACCTTGCTCTCTCACCCAATCTCTGCTAAATGGTTTTCCAGCTGCCCTTGGGTCCTGGAGAACTACACGCTTCTACTCCTGAGCCTAGCCAGTCCTTGACCACCTCTGGATCATTGCAGAGATAGCCCTTGGGTGGGCTCACAGCCCACCCGCCCCGCCTGAGGATTATAGCTGGATTTAACCTGTTCTTGGCCTTCTCCACCCCCGCATTGCCCCTCTACAGGGTCAACGGGACCCCCCTTGGCGTTTCTTTCTTCTGAGCTCTTAGCCATGTGGTTGTTGTGATTTTTAAAACTTCAGAGCATTATTCCAATGTCTTGAAGCCCCACCTGTAAAACAGAAGTGCAGTGTAGCCTCTGCTGCTTAGCCCCCTGCCCAGGAACTTCCTAGGATCTGCCCAGGAACGGTGGGGCTCCAGCGAGCACAGTGTGAGAAAGCGCAGGCATCATGTGCCACCCTGGATGATAAGGGTAAGGTGCTGGATTACTAAGGGGAAGGCTGAAGGTTTGAACCCACCTGGAGAAGCTTCACAAGAAAAACCTGGTGGCCTGTTTCCGAGGGATTTAATCCGCCACCCCCTTTATGTTACCCTGCAGTTTTCTGCCATGTCCACAGGGCATTATCATTTCCAACTACTTCACCTTGATTCTCTTTTTCATCTTATTTATAAAGGAACATGTAATCATATCCACTACTGCTGTACCTACAATGCAGTAACTAAGTGCCAGGCTCGGTTCCAAACACTTAACATGCAGTAATGAATTTCCTCCTAATGGCAATACCGTGGGGTAGATGCTATTCTTATCCCAAGGTGCAACTGAGGCACAGAGTGGTTACGCAACTTTCCCAAGGCCACCCAGCTGATAATTGGCGGAGTCAGCAGTCAGACCCAGGTGGTCTGGGTTCAAGGCCACACTCCAAGCCCCTTTCTGATTCTCATGGAAAAGTGTGTAAACACGATTCATTTGTCATAAATAGAAGCTTCTTGTCAAAAGAAAATACACCAGAAAAGCAAGACAGCGCCTGGCGACTGCTGCTGACTGCTGAGGTCACAACAGAAGGCCTTGCGCACAGTGGCAGGTGGGAGATGGAGAACCAAACTCAAGTTGATGAAAAGACCAGATTTCGGGAAAAAGAGGGCACTGATCCCAATGACCTACATATGCTCCCTCCCTGGGGATGGAAAACAGAAAAGTGGGTGAAAGGAGACATGGGTCAGTGTAAGACATGAAAAAATAACAACAATTTATAAATTACCAAGGGTTCAGGAGGGAGGGATCGTGGGAAAGGGAGGGGAAGGGAAAACTGAGCTGATACCAAAGGCTCAAGTAGAAAGAAAATGTTTTGAAAATGATGACGGCAACAAACGTACAAATGTGCTTGACATGATGGATGAATGGATGGATGGATTGTGGTAAGAGCTATCCGAGCCCCCAATAAAAGGATATAAAACACAAGACCAGACTTTGTGATCTCATAGAGACTGGTAGAACCCCAGAGACAATGGCCCTTCAACACCCTTCAACCTGGAACCAAATCCGCCCCCAGGAAATCAGCCGATCAATGTCAACAGACAGACCTATAGAGAGCAGTAGCACCCACGAGGAATGTTCTCAGTGCAATCAACCCTGTGCGACCCAAGGCAGCATTGGCCCCAGGCATCCCTCAGAAGGCAGGAAGGACGGGACTGAAGGCCGAATGGAGACGGGCCCAGGGGAGAAGTGGGAAAAGGGCTGTGGGTACATTGAGAGGACTCCAGCCTGTGTCAGGAAGCCAAATGTGTCCAGACGTCCTGCACACGTTCGCCCAGACCCCCATCAACACCCAAACACAAGCATCAATCAAAGACTCAATCAAAGGAGAACTCACAGACAGAGGAAAATCATTTGGGCTGTAATATATCAGATAAAGGGCTAACCTCAAAAGTCCATAGGAAACTGTAACACCCCAACAAGAAAAAAGATGAATGATCCAGTTGAAAAATGGGCGGAAGACATGAATGGACAGATTCCCCCAAAGATGATGTCAAGGCTGCCAACAAACATGGGAAATTGCTTTCGCCACCACTAGACCTTTGAGGAATACAAATTAAATCATGATGAGATACCACCTCATCCTGGCACTGATAATAAAATTAAAAAACAAGCAAACAGAGAATAACAAATACCGCAGGGGGTGTGGAGAGATTAGAAGCCTCACACCCCATTGGTGCGGATGTGAAACTGTGCCCCACTTAGGGAAAGCAGAATGGCGCTCACTCAAACAAATGGGAATAGAAATCCCACATGATCCAGCAGTCTCTCTACTCGGTATGTAGAAGAAACGAGCCCAAACATGAACAGATATAGGCACACCATGTTTATGATCCGGAAAGGTGCGTGTCAGGGTGGTAGCCTCTCACCATTATTCACTCTGTCTGCTGAGCAAATAATCAGAGAAGCTGGCTTCTAGGAAGAAGAACGTAGCATCAGGGTGGGAGGAAGGCTTATGAACCACCTGCGGTATGCAGCTGACCCAATCTTGCTTGCTGAAAGTGAGGAGGACTTGAAGCCCTTGCCAATGCAGATCGAAGACTGCAGTCTTCAGTGTGGATTCCAGCTCCGTGTCATGAAGCTCCAAATCTCCGCAACGGGACCCATAGGTAACATCATGGCACGTGGGGAAAAGATTGGTGTTATCAAGGATGTCATCCTCCACAATCAATGCTTGTGGGAGCAGCAGTCAAGAGATCAAGAGACGAGTTGCATTGACTAACTGCTGCACAAGGACCTCTTTAGAGAATTGAAAAGCAAGGCTGTGACTTTGAGGACGGAGCGTGCTTGACCCAAGCCACGGTATTTCTCAGTTGCCTCAGATGCACGTGAAAGTTGGACCTGGAGGAGGAGGACGACTGAAGCAGATTTTGATGGGTGAGGAGGACGACTGAAGCAGATTTTGATGGGTACGGGGAACACAGGGTGAGGGGGAAGGACAGGGAGAGAGGAGGAAGGAAATAAAATTTATTTTCTAAAAAAAAGATATGCAGTGCACACATCGATACATAAACAGCAGCATAGATAGATAATAACAGTTTTTTTTTTA